CATGTTCAAAATGAACTCCACATGGTTTTGTGGCACGAAATCCACACATACAGTTTGGCTAAGGGAACCAACACCTGCATGCATCAGCAGAGACCATACACCTTGAGCCCCCAGGCTGTGAGTCATTTGACCCTTCGAGAAGAAAAACAACATTGCATAACATTAACGTAACATAACATAACATAACCAGCCTTATAATCAGCAGCCCCTTGGAGGAGAGAAAGCTAGTTTCAGAAGCCTCTAGTCTAGAAGAGACACGTTCCAAAATCTTTGGACACAGGTTCAGCCGAGTGCTGCCAAAATCAGCCGGGTTCGGTGACCAGGTGTCCACAGGTGTTTGTTGTTTGCCTCCAAGGAAGGCGCAGTTGAGCAGTACAGTGCCGCACTCAAGAAGGCGGGGCGCAGTACAAAGTAGTTGGATTGCCAAAGTGACAAAGTAGTTTTTGAACTGGTGTTGTTTCTTTTTGTTGATGTGCTGTGTGTGTAATGATGGGTGACACATCGTCATTGGATTCATTAGATTAGACAATAAACTGTGACTATTTTAAAGAGGGAGGCTCGTCCAGGATTCCAACATCCGACTGTTGCTTACAATATGCTCAAAGATGTTCAAAAGGGATGACCCAACTCTGCAAGAAGGCGCCTTCATCCGTCTTGCACGCCAACCGAGCTGCAGCCTATATGATGCTGGGGTGGTGGCAGCAAGCCTTAAGGGACTGCAAGGCTGGATAGCGGAGAGTGTGGTGCGGACAGACAGCATCAAGGTCAAGTGGGGTGTAGAACTTATGAATGGCAAGAACCTTTGTGTTTGCAGATCATTCCCCACTTTGATACCAGTGTTTCACCTAAATTTGCGAAAATACATTGCTCCAAGAGGATTATGTAGGGATTGCACCTTTCTTTGGGCACCTGATGTCCACTCCTTTGTTCACCCGCCAAACCTGCGACGGCCGGCAGAGGCGGCGCTGCGGAAGGACCCAGACAACTTGAAGGCCTTGCAGCGCCAGGGCCGGGTACTGCTGGCAATGGACGATTTGGAAGCTGCCAAGGCGCGGATGCACGGTGTGCATGCGTGTGCTGGCGGTTTCGGGTGCCCAGCAGGTGGGTGTTTCAGGTGCCCAGCAGGCGCCCAAGGCTTAAAGGATGCCAGTCTTTCAAGCAGTGTGGCAGATGGGCTTCCGTTTGAACATGATAGGGTCACACTACTAGAGCAAGATGTTCAGCCTTTAGAAGTCCATGTTCAAGGTGGTCATTCAAGCTTGCAGGCATAGGTAAATGAGTCTGAATGTAGGGTCATTTTTGGTAAGGGACCACGTTATTTAGTAAGTGGGGTTGCTCCAAGTAGCGTTGCAAGTGATTAGGTCACACCCTTATATCGCAAAGCAGTTGTACTTTTGGGTGGGACAGGTTCTGGAATTTGGAACCCCTTTTCTTCCTGCACTGCATACTTGCTAAACAAACTTGGAATTGACCAAGGGGCTCTGAAGATTTCATTGATTTTCAAAGTCGAACCAGAGGAGGCCCTTTGACACCTCACACCAAACCGTGTTCGTGGCATTCCCCTTCAACCCTCCAAAAAGGAACTAGACAAGCAGGGATTCATGAGAATTGAGTCTTTCAAGAGAGTCAAGGCTCGAGCAACACTGGTAGCAACACCCTGCACGCTCCATTCATGAGGCCATATGAGGCCTTAAGGGTTGCATATGTTGCATGCGAGCGCGTGAGGTAGCCAAGGATGGTAGCCAGGGATGTTAAAGATCTAAATGTGTCCCGGGTTCCAAGTCACACTCATAGACCATCATAGACATATCATAGACATATCATGACACTCCTGAGTTATGGAATCTCTACGTCATAGACCGACCCGGCCGTGGCGAGTCCATTGACCTGAAAGCCGGTGGGTCGGCGCGTTCCACCGGTCGTGGACGATGACCGCCATGACCCGGAAGCCTTTTCAGAGGTTTTTTCCGCTTTGGGACAGAGCCCTAGCCATGACATAAATGGGATGTATACTGTAAACATGTGTAAACCTGATAACATTTTATAACTATATATGATACTATATATACACCATGTTATACAGTAGTTTGCTTAATTTTGCTGATTGCCATGACCCATAGCCAGTTACTTAAGCTTGTAGCTAGATGTAGATGGTGGTGTTTGTTTGTCCGGCCGGACACCTCCGGCCGTTCAGTTCCTTTCAGATCCCCTCAGGCCGTGGTCGAAGACTTGGAGCTGCGAGGTCCCAAAGAGGTGCGAACGGCGGTGAACGGCGATGAACGCGTGTCGTTTCGCCCTCGCCTCGCGGTGCGAACGGAGGGTGAGGGAAGTGGCGCTCGTGGCGCTGGTTCGGGCCGGGAACGCTATGGATACTGTTACATTGCTTTTACTGGTTTTGTAGCCGGGCAAGGGTCTGAAATAACGTTGAAGATTTGCTAGAAATAGCGCCCTCAGGACGTGAAGCCCGGTCAATAGTTGTGTGTTGTTTCTGCAGGGAGTGAAGCCCGGGGTAGTCCAGCCAATGGGCCTTTATCACCATGCATGTGCATTGTTGGATGCCATCTCTTTTTGACACGTAGACGCTCCAAAGCAGGACCTCCAAGACCATTTGGGACCTCTATATAGATCTTTAAACAAGGATACCGACCTAAGAGTTCAAAATCTGTTGGATGGCAAGATCTATAGATCTGACTCCGGGATTCTACAGGTTCTTTGACCAATTCCAGACTCACCGTTCGTCTCCTCCCCGGTGCCCCGAGGTCTTCCAAGGCGTCGAGCGTCCGGCGCCCGTGGTGCGGCGCCTCCGGTGGCTCACGGAAGCGGCGCGGGAGCTCAGCAGCCTGGAGCAGTGCCAGGCCTGGAGACGATGGGTCGCGTTGTTTCTCGTTGTTTATTTAATGGTTTCTTGAGATGGCAAACATCTACGGGCTACGGGAGGAGACGCAGATTTGTGGTGTCTTTCATGCACATTCATTCAGCAAATCCACTGCATTCCACTGCCACATGGTATGTAACGATATAACTATATAAAGATATTAGCACGATATAATTCACTAAGTATATTAATTTCTCGTACATTATACTAGCATTATTGCTCGTATTTACTATAAGTATGATAATTACTTATACTACTATAAGTAGTACCCCATATTTACTCGTATTACTCGTATATTATACCTCCTCTAATTCGGGGTAAACGGTGGTGATACCTCCGTCTCACATGATGGGGGCTCACCCAGACTGCCCGCCCCACCAGGCTTTTCGGGAGGCCTTTGGATCGAAGGCCGAGCTGGTTTCGCCTTTAGGCCGGGTCCGCTGTTGTCGGCGGTGGCCACCTGGGTCAACGTGGGTTTGGTGGGTCCAAATTGGGGCACCAGCTGTTGGAAGAACCAGCAGGTCGCCAGATTCATTGGATTTGGATGCATTTTGATGCTGTCAGACCCGGCCGGCACATACCGGCCTCCCTACACCATGGGACATCATGGGGACAGCCCCTTTCAAGTGGCTTGATAATATGTCGCGAATTTGGGGATCGCTGTGAGCCTCCTACCCTGTGACTTGATTTTTCCATACTAGAATCTTAGAATATGCTGCTATAGACTATAGAGATAAGAATTACTAGATCGATCAATCTACCTACCTATCTATTTATCTGTTTGTTTGTTTGTCTATCTATCTATCTCATTCAACACACTTGGGTACCCGGTCATTGGGTAGCTCATTAAAACATTTTTTAACATTAGAAACAACATATATATATATATTGCAAGAAACAGCAGCAACATTGCACCCATTGACCCACCCCACTCTTGTTTTCCAAAGAGGTGACAGATCTGTGTTTCAGCCTTCACTGGCAAATCAGACACAATGGCATCCAATTTGGCATCCAATTCTTCCAGGGTTTCGTTTGAAATTTCACCTGGCAGTCTTCCAACCTGGTTTCCTTTGGTTTGGACAGTTGGTTCTTCCACATGCTCCAGGCATGTGTGTGTGTGAGTCTTCTCACATCTTCAGCCAAGCATCCTCCAACATTCTGGTGAGTTGGTGCTCCCCACTGCTGAGGCTGCTGAGGCTGCTGATAGTAACCAGGGGGAGGTGCCATAGCCAAATTCCCGAGGTAGCAGCAAGGGGAAGACTTGTCCTGAAGGCTGCACACACCCCAGGCTGCAAAAAGGGAGCTTTCAACCAGAAGCAGCACACAAGAACCTCCAAACAAACCGCTTTTGTGTGAACAGCTGAACCTGACATGGTGTACTAGAATCACTTGACTCATGGAAAGGCATTATATAAACAAAAACATCTAAGCCACCACTACATGACATCTGACCAGTTTTTATGCATATCACTTGGGATCAGCACCAAGTGTTCTTTGTTTCTTCGTCTTTTTCTCTTTGCCCATGGCTTATGAGCCAGCTTGAAAGCTCAGACTTGCCAGGGGTTCAGCCCAAATGGCTTCAGTCAGTTGAAGCAGCACTGGCATGAAACCTGATGAACTAACCCTTCAAACACACACTCTTACCTCAATTATCTCCTCAATTCTCCCTAATGTTTTCTAATGTTCTGTAATGTTTCCATGTTCTGCAATGCAATCTTTACCTAATGATTAATGTATTTTGTTTTATGTGTTTTAATTTGTTGACAGTTTGGATGGCCCTTCATGAACCCACCCCTGATGAGACTACCTGTTCTCACAGAAGGCTATCTATCTATCTATCTATCTATCTAATTCTATCTATCTTATTCTATCTAATTCTATCTATCTATCTAATTCTATCTATCTATCTAATTCTATCTATCTATCTAATTCTATCTATCTATCTATCTATCTATTTATCTATCTATCTATCTATCTATCTATCTAGTGTTTTCTATTTGTTCTTCTCCACTTCTCCATCGGTCCATCCGATTCCATCCCCATAGATCGCCCTTTTTCCAGGCTTGCGGCTTCGGAAAGCCTTGGTGAAGGCTCTGGTCGAGCGCTCCGACGCCGTCGAGCATCAGCGGCGCATCCGCCCGGCGTTGGCCTACAACCAGCGCCAGGTGCGGGTCACAGAGAGAGAGAGAGAGGGAGAGAGGGCGAGCACATGAGAGCACTGATTGAATTGAGAACTCTACCGCAGAAGAAGAACAGCATGCAAGACAACGACAGTTGCAACAGTTGGAGTCATTTTCTCAAGTCATTCAAAAACTGAGTTCCTAGACTAACAAAAGAATAAAAGAGGGTGTGACTCAGTTGCTTCTACCATTCCAAAGAACAGCCAGGTGGAGCATGCCGGTGGAATCAGTGGAGCCGACGAGATCGAGGAGTTGACGCCCTATGCCGAAGAGGCCGTGCGCCTCGCAGGCGCGGGTGCGGCGCGGGTGCGGTGCCCCGGACCGGGGTTGAAATGGATTGAACATGGACCCAAAAGAGAATTTTAGGCATGTGTTTTTGTGGTTTGGACACATTGTCAACTGACGTGACAGAGTTTCTCCAATTAGATTTGGGGAGAGAGTTTATATATCTTTATATGAGTTTATGATAGTTTATGTGTGTTTTTCCTCTGGGCGCTTGGGAGGGGTGAGCAGTTGTTCACCTCATCATGACTCATGAGACTCAAGACATCCCATCCCCTTCTTTGGGGTGGAAAACGGATGGTCCTAGGTCCATCCGGTGTGTTGGCATTGCGCTTAGGGGCGCAGGTTCTTGCGGTTCCGCATGGCCCGGATGCCTTTCTTCCCACCATGCACAACTCAAACTCGTGGTCGTATATATGCTCAGCTTCTGCCCAGGTGAGCTTCTGGAGGATTTCCCTGAAGACCCGGACGCGCGCTATTGGCGTGGCAAGGCGCTCCTGCGCTTGGGCCGTCACTGCGACGCCGAGAAGCAGTTCGATGAAGGCCCGGCCGCACAAGGTTGGCCGTCATTTGCACGGTATTTGGCGTGTTAGCATGGTAAAAGGATGGAACTTTGATTGCAAACATGCCCCCTGTGTCAATTAGGCATAGAATAGCTTGGATACCAAAGACGTGAATCCGAAAAACAATCAAACACGTGTATAATATAATGAGTACAGGTTATCATATATATACATTTATATTATAATATATATATATAT